GGGGGAAACAGGAAGACTAAATCAATGAGGAGAGAAATTAGAAGAAAAGGAGGAGCAAAAAACTGCTCCAGCTAAGGAAAAGACACTAAGGCAAACAAGAGGGAAGGGAGTGTTGAAAGGAAGCAGCTGATCGGTGGGATCGGGAGAGAGATAAGGGACGCTAGTGGAGGCTGCCTGGGAGGGGGGAGGTAAAAGCCCATGGATCCTCAGGATTTTTACATTGGGTCACCCCAAATTCACCATCAAATCACATAGCATGTCCATGGCTACAGCCTGCACCCAAAAAATCATACATCCACTGTTTCGTTCAGAATCTTTTTTCTTGTTTTCCTCCTCTAAAAACTAGGTGCGTCTTATGGTCAGGTGCATCTTATGGAACGAAAAATACGGTAGATGGTAGTGGTAATGAGCTTTAAGTGTTAACTTGAAACATTCTTTCAGAAATTAATAGAGGAACATTTATACAAATAGCCATGTAAACATATATACAAGCATTAGATGCAAATATCCATATACACAGTCACTTGTCATTTATTGAAAAAAAATATTTTCAGCAGCACAAATTCCAGAAACATAATTTGTGAGGAGTGAATTAAAGCAGACTAGATAAGGGAATGTGTCAGCTTTATATACACAGATTCCATATTTTAAAAGCTGTGGTATGGAAACACCATTTAGTAACTGTAATGTACTGTTGAATTAAGTCCCCAGGAAAATAGCATGCTTACCAGGAGCAGCCATAGAAAATATTTCTTGCCTGCCTTGAATTCTGCCCCCCATGCAACAGCCTCAAAAGGATATAGAAAGCTTATTGCAAAACTTATATGTTTCTATACACCATAAGTAAGAATATAACAAATGATTTGCTTGTTCTTGCTGCAATATCACTTCTTTTTCCTTATATTCCTCCCAGGTGTCATCATGTCTCCAACAATAATTGCCCCATGGCATTCACGCTGATTGACTGGCTTCCCCAGAAACCTCACAGCACCTCTCAGAACATAAGTCACGTCTTTCAGTTTTACCTGGGTTGGTATATTCCCAATTTGCACAATACACTGTGGCCAATTCTTCTCATTTCGTTGGATAACCTCTACACAGAGACGGGTTCCACACAGAGTAGTATTTCTTGTTCTCTTAGCTTTGCAATAATCTGGCTGTCTTCTCAAAGACCTTTTCTTGCGGTGGCAGCAAGTGTGTTTAACCTGTGTGGCATCTCTAGCTCTCCCAGTTCCAGTCCTGGCAGATGCACAGTGAGCACAGAAGCGGTTTAGTCATGCTGGCCACATGACTATGGACAAAAGCCGGCTCCCTTGGCCTGAAAAACGAGATGAGTGCCACAACCCCATAGTCGCCTTCGACTGGACTTAACTGTCCAGGGGTCCTTTACTTTCCTGCCTTTTACTTCTTTGGACAATCTGCTTCTGAGTATTTGCTGTTTTCTTTCACACTTGGGGACTTTTTCAGTAAAATTGGCACCAAGCTACATATTGCAGTTTCATAGCTTATTTTAACGATAACTCTTGGCAATGCTGGAATATGTTCACTGGATACAAAGCACCTGCCCTTGTTTTATATGTATGAGCAGACACACCCATCCTTGCCATTTCTGAGGCTATGTTGCCCAAACACATTATTACTATCTACAAACTCACTGTACTTTTGACTGTCACAGTATGCTACAGAGAGTACTAGTAAGACAGAATCAGAGACACATATGTTTGTTACTATTGTTAATGCACTGTTCCCTAGAACTGGGCTCAATGAGTCTCTGTTGCCATTTTCCAGGAGAGCAATAGACAGCACAGTGGAACCTTGGCTCTCGAACTTAATCCATTCCAGAAGTTCGTTCGACTCCCAAAACCATTCAAAAACCAAGGTGCAGCTTTCGATTGGCTGCAGGAGCTTCCTGCACTCAAACGGAAGCCGTGTTGGACATTCGTCTTCCACAAAACATTAGAAAACCAGAATACTTACTTCCGGGTTTTTGGCGTTTGGGGCCTGATTTGCTCGTCAACTAAGCCACTCGAGAACCAAAGTTCCACTGTACAGGTTTGGCCTGGCTGATGTTTATGAGGCACCACTCTGATTGTCTTTGTATGTAAGAAAAGCATTTTCTTTTCTTTTTGTTCCCGTCAAAAACCGTCCCCCAGTTATCATTGTCTTTCATCTCTGCCACATGGTACAACAAAGGCTCTTCTACTAGGATGCTTTCATTCACTTCTTGGGTTGCACACAAGAGGTTTGTGCAACAAAACGCTGCAGAACAATTGCAAACCTTTGGCACTGGAACTGGAATTGTAAAAAACAGAAATGTTTTATTTGTTTTAAGAATCTCAATAATAATTACTTTACAAAGGACAGAGATCTGTCATAGCATGTTATTATGAAATCCTGTTTGACTGCTCAGAAGGCAATTCTGGTGAGCTTTTTGGGCATCTTCTAGAGAAGTGTGTTTTAAACTCAGGGTTTGTAATTAATGAAGCTAGTTTAAGGCCACTTCCTAGGTTTAAAATAGTACTGCAACTTCAAATGTGTGCATGCTTTGTTAACTTGCTACTATCTCTCTAAAGACCAACAGCTTATTTTACCCTTTTATTTTCTCCACCCTTGTTAAGTCACCACCACCAGCAGCTAGAATCTATTCCCACCCCACCCCCAGCTCTTTACTGATCTGTTGAATTTAGAGTTGTCCTGCTGTACTGCCCTGGAAATCTTCTCTGATAACCCTTACCAGCCACCAAAGACTGACACTTTAAGCTGTTTCATGCTGCAGACAGGCTCTCCTCTTGTCTCTTCAGCCTCAGGCAAGTGCTTTAGCTATCGCCAACAAGTCTTCAGCCACCTAGCCACTCTGCTTGCCTCTCAGGTCTTCTGTTCCTTCCCCAGGTCTTCTTCTTTTCCTGGCCCTTCTAGTCCATCCCCAGCCAATCACACCGTCTAGCTGATAATTCTAAACCTGCATCCACTAATTGAAATAATATGCAAACTCTTCTTTTTGCATACTGAGATTTCTGACATCAACCCTTCTTCACTGCTGCCAGTTAAGGCCCCAAACAAAAGTTTCACTGGACCAGACTGAAAATTTCTTGCATCAAACAAATGCGCATTACAACACAAATGTCAGAATGCATTGCGCACCACCCATCAAAACCTACTTGTGTACTTCTTCAAATCTTGGGTGTTTTATTTAGCTTATAAGAGTATTATCAAAAGATAAAAAAGGTAGAGGACCCCTGGACGGTTAAGTCCAGTCAAAGGTGACTATGGGATGTGGTGCTCATCTTGCTTCAGGCTGAGGGAGCCGGCATTTGTCCATACACAGCTTTCTGGGTCATGTGACCAGCTTGACTAAACCGCTTCTGGTGTAACGGAACACCATAATGAAAACCAGAGCGCACAGAAATGCTGTTTACCTTCCCGCCGCAGTGATACCTATTTATCTACTTGCACTGTTGTGCTTTTGAACTGCTAGGTTGACAGGAGCTGGGACAGAGCAATGGGAGCTCACTGTTAAGAGGCTCAGTGGTTTAGACCACAGCACCACCCGCGTCCCTAGTATTTATAGGTAAAGGTAAAGGGACCCCTGACCATTAGGTCTAGTCGTGACCGACTCTGGGGTTGCAGTGCTCATCTCGCTTTATTGGCCGAGGGAGCTAGCATACAGCTTCCGGGTCATGTGGCCAGCATGACTAAGCCGCTTCTGGCGAACCAGAGCAGCACACGGAAACACTGTTTACCTTCCCACCGGAGCGGTACCTATTTATCTACTTGCACTTTGATGTGATTTTGAACTGCTAGGTTGGCAGGAGCGTCCCTTTATTTATTTATAAGAGGTGCTAAACTGGATCCATCCTAGCTGTCCCCCTTCTGGCAGTTGAATACATTTTCCTAACAGGCTTTTGGGAACTGACTGCTTTTAATGAAAGGGCTAGTGCCATGCTGTTCTAGTGGAAACTATTTGTATGCCTTTAATAGATTTTATATACACTCCGTATCATATACTTTGTATCATTTATAACAAATAATAATTGTGTGTGTGTGTGCATACACACACACACACACACACAGAGAGAATTTTAATTTTATTCACGTTTCATTGTTTTTTAAATACTCCCCCCCGCCCACGTTTTCAGCAGTCCACTGTAAGCCGCCTTGAGTCCCGTCGGGGTAAGGAAAAGGCGGAGTATAAGTAAACGGATGGATGATTAAAACAGTGGCGTAGCATGGGGGGTGCAGGGGGGGCCGGCCGCACCGGGCGCAACATCTGGGGTTAGGGCAAATCCACAGGTTAGGGGGCACAAATCCACGGGTTAGGGGGCGCAAATCCACTCTTTAGGGGGCACAAATTACTTGCCTTGCCCCGGGTGCTGACAACCCACGCTACGCCACTGGATTAAAAGCAAACCACGGCACACTAAAGGGCAGCAAGGCTATCAGCCGCGTTTCCTGGCGCTTTTAAAATGACCTGCAATCATTTCGCTTTAAATCCCCGACCGAGCCGTCAGAGAAAACTAGTCGGGCTGTCTCCCTGGTCGAGGACAGCGGCGTAGCAGGGACCTTTAAAACCAGGGTTGCATCCCTTCTCCTCCCTCCCCCTTCGCTTTCCTGCCTGTAAGCCGCACATACTATACTGTGGTACCTCGGGTTAAGTACTTAATTTGTTCTGGAGGTCCGTTCTAACCTGAAACTGTTCTTAACCTGAAGCACCACTTTAGCTACTGGGGCCTCCTGCTGCCGCCGCACCGCCGGAGCACGATTTCTGTTCTCATCCTGAAGCAAAGTTCTTAACCTGAAGCACTATTTCTGGGCTAACGGAGTCTGTAACCTGAAGCGTATGTAACCTGAGGTACCACTGTATATCGCTCCTTCCCGAAAAAGCTCCTTTCCCCGGTCCTCCCGCACCGCTCCGCCAGCAGGGGCCGCTGTGGAGCCGCCCGGGCGCGCGGCTGCCGGAACTAGCCCGCTCTTGCCCTGACGCGCCGAGGCGAGTCCCGTCATATGACCCACGTCGCGCGGGGAGCGGGAGGCAGCAGCAGCAGCAGCAGCAGCAAGCAGGAGAACCGGGAGCAGCAGCAGCAGCAGCCGCCGGATTCGGCCTCGAGGCGCCGTCGCGAGAAGGAGCGTCGGAGGCGAGGCGGGCGAGGGAAGGGAGACGAGAAGCGTCCTGGTTGCTGCCTCTGCCGCCGCTGCCACCACCTGCACCCCCCACCCTCATCATGCTGGCGCTGTTGTCTCGGCTGCTGGACTGGTTCCGGTCGCTGTTCTGGAAGGAGGAGATGGAGCTGACGCTGGTCGGGCTGCAGTACTCGGGGAAGACCACCTTCGTCAACGTCATCGCGGTGAGATGCGTGATTCCGCACCCCGGGGTGTCCCTACTTTGCCCCCTCCCGCCTCTCCTTTGATACCCGCTTGAGCTGGAGATGGGCGGCTGCTCTCGCTCCTCCCCTCCTTGGCCCCAGTCAAATGCATGCACAGTAATTTTCCCCCTCGTTGTAGAGTGGGGTTGTGGGTTTTTTTTTGGGTGGGTGGGAGAAGAGTAACACCAAATTGTCATTTTAAAGGCCCCGCCCTCTGCTTTCCCTCCGTCTCCTGCAGCCCATTGAGTTCTGCCCCGTGCGGGGGTTAAAAGTCCCAGCACTTTGGGGGAGCATGCGAGGGGAAAGGCCACGCCAACTCCTTAGGATAGGGCAAAGGGGCTCTTTCCACTTTCTTTCCTGGGTGGGGTGGCATTCAGACATGCAGCTCGCTCACGTGTTCAGCGGTACAGCCAGGGGACAGGAGAAGAGTTTAGGTTAGGGACTTAGAATTCTGCTGTTTCCCGGACCTCGGCGAGCCGTGGAGGTTGGGGGTGGGGCTGAGCCAGGTGATGCTTTCACCCACTTGGTTGCCTCCAGACACTCAACGTGGATGAAAGGAGTTCTGGAGGAGGGCAGGATTAGGAATGGTGGGTGGTACCCTCACTTGCCCAGCCCAGTCATGTCTTAGTCAGGTCTGAAGCTCTTTGCATAGCAAGCCTTGTTTGGGATGGGCAAAAGAAGAAGCTGCAACTCTTCTCCCTGAAGCTGCTATAATCCTACACTCTCTGGGTGTGACTTTCCCAAAGGAGAACACTTTTCTCTTCCCAGTGTTTGTAGGTGCCAAGTGATGTGGGAGGACCAAGGGCCTGCCTGGTTTTACCTGACTTTGCTTTGGTTTGGAGATGACTTCCTGAGCCTTTCTCTCTCTGGAGGAAGTTAACAGTTGAACATGTTGCTCAAGATTAATAAATACAAAACCAGAGTGCACTCAAGAGTGGTCTTAAGGTGCCACATGAGTTTAAGTAAGGATGGGCCTAGCCAATATTTGGAGTCTATCCAGAAACCCTATGTATGTCTGAGCTCTTCCAAGACATTTAAAATATAAATGTTATCTATTTTGTTTGAAGGTATTTCTAGGGCACCTTTAAGGGTAAAAGAACCTTGCTAAGATGACTTAAACCCTCTGAAGGGCAACACTTAAGCAGTTTGTGGTATACTCGAACATATATCATCTGAGGCCCTTCTCCAGGTACTTCCTCTGAAATAAGTTTTGAACGCGGTGGCACTGTCTTTTTGGCTGTGTCTATGGAGGGCCCTCCCCAGCGAAGCCTGCTTGATGCCAGTATTAACATCATTTCGGTGCCAGGTTGACATACCTCTTTTCCCAGACTCTTCAGAGATTTCAGTCTTTCCTTTCTTTTTCTTTTGTTTGTATTTTGGAGTATCATTTTACCATCAGTTAAACCTGATGATGTTTTTTAAATTGTTTATGCAAGTTACTACTTTTATTGGATGACTACATGTACTTAAAATAATCCATGTGAGTTTGAATGAGTCTAGGAGCCCTGTAATGACTGATTAGGGTTATGTTTCATTAACCAGGGCAAGGGATATCTGTAGAAGGTCTTTCTTTTTTATTTATTGACACTATTCTTATAAGCAAAAAAGCTCACTTAGACTGCATAGCCTGAACAGACTTGATACACAAGAACACTTACTTGCCTCAAGGTATCTTAATTAGCACATATTATAGATGAATATTGATCTTTTTAACTGACGTTTCATACTTGTATTCTAGTTGTAAAGCATCATTTTCACTTCCAGGGTTTTTGGTGTGTGTATATATATCTTTATGCCATCTGTAGATATTGATAGTTATGGTAAAATCGGGACCAATCCATTTGGAATACTTTGCTCTGAATAAAGGGGCTCGCTCTGTCTTGAGTTTGCCCTTTGGGGAGAGCAGAGTTACCGGTAGGTGAATTGCATTCAGCTCATTCTCCTGGTAGGTCAAAGTAGCTTTTCCCCCTTGGCACATTAACAATAGGAGGGTGGGGTCAGGTTGCTGTTTGGGATGGGGCAAGAAACCTTCCACAATGGACTCAGCTGCAGAATGTGCCTCTCGGTTTAGCCATTAACTTGCTTATCTATGCTGAAGTTGCCTCATAAAAAGCTTTGATGATGTCTTTCTAAATGACTTGATTGCATCACTTCCAACAAACAAGATGCTACATTTTCTTGATTGTTTTGTGGCTTTATCAGGGGCATGCAGCATTGTCTTGCTAGAGTAAATCTAAAACAGTGCTCTTACTTTGGGGGGCAAACTGGCCTCTACTTACTGCACTTAAGATCATTTTTGGCTTTGGTAGGCCTACTGCTGCAGCAAGCTGCTTCTGTCAGTTCTTTAGGTTTCAATGGTGGCAGTTTGTTGGATAAATTTAGTTCGTAATATGGTTCTAAAAGACAACAAAACAGCTTCCTTGCAGGCCTGGGAAATGCTTTCTGGTCTGTACTGGCTTGGCAGACCATTGGAGTGTAATGTACTTTGCTTGTAGATATTTTTGTCCTGTTTGTTGCTTAGACCTTGCCTCAAACACAGTAATGAAACTTCTGAGGGGATCTTGTAAATGAGATCTGAAACTGCTCACATTTTTCTTTTCTAACAGGAGTGCTTATGACAAAGAGTGAGCAAGGAATAGTTTGGAAAATTAAGAGTGTGATCCTTACCATGTTTGCTTGGAAACGAGTTGTGTTGAAGTTAGTAGGGCGTATTCCCAAATTAGTAGGGGTTAGGTCTATAGATGAAGTAGTCCTAGCATTTTTTCAATTTTTTCATGGAAACGTCTTGAGTCTGAATCTTGACAGGATTGCATCTGTAAATACTTCTAAGCAACTAGAATGATTTAAAATATCTTCTTGTGAACCAGCCTGAGATCTTTTGATAAAGGGCAGTATATAAACAACAGCAACAACATTTTGCACTTAAGCTTTGTGTTCATTAAGTTCAAAGAACATCATTGTGTGGTAGACATATGCTCCATAATAGTGATGGGCTCATTTGAGATGACTTCTAAATACAGTCGTACCTCAGTTTATGAATTTAATTCGTTCCGGAAGTCCTTTCTTAAACCGAAACTGTTCTTAAACTGAGGCGCGCTTTCCCTATGAGGCCTCCTGCCACCAGTGCCCTTCCACCATTCGGATTCCATTCTTAGACCAAGGTAAAGTTCGCAAACCGGGCACTACTTCCGGTTTTGCGGAGTTTGTAAACCGAATAGTTCATAAACAGGGGTGTTCTTAAACCAAGGTACCACTGTATTCTAAAGCTTCCAGGTTCAGCACCTGCATTGGGATATCTCTCTCCTTAGCTGAGATAAACAATATAATCAGAAGATGGCCATACCCATGTTCTCCTTAACCACTGGGGATATGTGTGTGCAGCAGTGCCTAGGAACTGGGTGTATTTAAGTCTTGGTCTACTGACAGACCTGTACCTGATTTATGGTAGATCAGCTACTGAGATTATTGCAAATAATACTGGACTAGTGAATTTTTGCCTACCTACTAAGACTTATGTTCATACTTGGAACACTTAGCACAGATCATAGCCTTGATGCAAGTTCCTATGTATGCATGCTTTCTTTGTACATTTTTATACTTCTTGATGGATCATGGGGATTCTTAAGCGGTGCTGGAGGGAAGCAGACCACATAAGGTTGAAATCAACCCATACTGTTGTCTTGGGGGGCAATTAGCAAATAAATAAAAACAAAGCAAAGCTTTGTGAATAGGGATAGTTTAAGCAAGTGCTGAACCATCACCCAAAAGACAATATGTGTGTTCTTGTGCTTGAGTGCTACCAAAGGGCGTGCTTGCCCTGAAGACCTCTTAATTCAAAAACAAACACTAAATGCACAAAATATGGCCAAGAGGTTGATGCATCATTTCATTAATATCAGTCCTTGACTGCCTTGCATTGCTTGTTTTCAGGACTACAGGGCACATCTGCTATGTTGTTGACTTTGAACGAATTCTAGAATTAGAATGGTGAAGCAAAAGGGCTATGCTGGTAGAGTGCTTGCTTGGTAGCTGCTTGCTCAGTGCTAGGGCTGGGGAACCAGTGGCCCTCCAGATGTTGCTGCATGACAACTGCAACATCTGGAGGACTGCAGATTGGCCACCCTTCAGATACAATGACTTCCTTTAAAGGTAGTATTTAGATCTACAACATAAACAAATATTTTATCCAAACCTCTAAGGTAAATTGGAAGCTAGCTTTAACTTGGCAGATGTAGTGGAATTTGTTAAAAACATGCTGTTATTGGATTATATATCTTTTTTTTTTTTTTATAAAATTTTTATTGGTTTTAGAAACTTTTTAAGAAAAACAAACAAACACCAAGAATGACAAACATACACGTATAGTTTCAAACATATTTTCATAAACCTCTTTCCTTTGACTTCCCCATACCCCCCCTCTCTGCATCCCAATGTCCATAGTTCAACTAACAACTCCCAATTGTTACTTTCCAATCTCTGTCATCTTAGTTCTCTTTTATATCTCTAACCTTATATCCCTGTATCCCTTTGTTTCTGGAAACCACAACATTTAGCATTCATTAAGTTTATAGTAGTCCTTAAGATAACTTTTAAATTTTCTCCATTCCTCTTCCACCGTCTCTTTTCGTTGGTCACGGATTCTGCCTGTCATCTCGGCCAGTGTCATATAGTCCATCACTTTCATCTGCCATTCTTCCAGAGTGGGTAGATCTTGAGTCTTCCAATACTTTGCGATAAGTATTCTTGCTGCTGTTGTAGCGTACATAAAGAAAGTTCTATCCCTCTTTGTCACCAATTGGCCGACAATGCCCAAGAGAAAGGCCTCTGGTTTTTTAGAGAAGGTACATTTAAGTACCTTTTTGATTTCATTATAGATCATTTCCCAGAAGGCCTTAATCTTCGGGCATGTCCACCAAAGGTGGTAGAAGGTACCTTCAGTCTCTTTACACTTCCAACATTTGTTATCGGGCAGGTGATAGATT